GAGAAGATCCAGATACCCACTGGTCTTTTCGACAAATGGTGCTGAGATACTGGCATATTCACATGCAAAATAATATATCAGACTGCCAGCTCACATCATACACAAAAATTAACTCAAAGTACATCATGGGCCTAGACAGAAGAGCAAAAAGTATCAACTATTTAGAAGACAATAAAAGGAGAAGATCTTGGTGCCCTGTGGATAGGCCAGAGCTTCTAATTCTCTGCACTACTGGCCTTATGGGTCAGATAATTCTTTGCTGTGAAAGTGCCCTGTCCATTGTAGGATGTTTAGCAGTTTCCTTGGCCTCGACTCACTAGACTCCAGTAGCAACCCTTTCCCTGCTGTAAAAGCTGAATATGTCTCCAGACATTGCTAAATGTCTCCTGGGGGGAAAATTGCCTCCCCCCACCCATTGAGAACCATTGCATAGGAAAAAAATTATTATTAGATATGACACTAAAAGCACAAATAACAAAAGCAAAAAATAATAAATTAGATTTCATCCTTAAAAAGTTTTGCTCTTCCAAAGACTCCATTAAATAAAAAGACAACCCATACAACAGAAAATACCTGTTTGTAAATTATATATCTGATAAAGGACTTATATCCAGAATACACAAAGAACTCTTGTAATTCTAACCAAGAAGATAACAACCCAATCAAAATATGGGTGAAATAGTTGCACAGATATCTCACCAAGGAATATGTATATAAATAGTTACTGAGCACATAAAAATATGTTCGATATCCTTGGTCATTTTAATGTGTGTATATCAAATTAAACCCACGATGAGATACCACTGTAACAGCTATAATAAATGAAAAAATAATGTTGACAGGATGTGGCTCAACTGAAACCCACATACATTGTTGGGGAGAACGTAAAATGGTACACTTTGGAAAATGATTTGGCAATGTCATAAGACAAAGCAATTTCACTCATTATCCAGTCAATAAAAATAAAAGCACATATCTATGCAAAGTCTTGTACGTGAATGCTGTGTTAGCATCATTAATAACAGCAAGAAAAGAAAACAATCCCAATGTCCATTAACTGATGCATGGAAAAACAAAATATAGTATATCCATATAAGAAACGGATTCAGCATTAAAAAAGAATAAAATACGGCCAGGCGTGGTGGCTCATGCCTACAATTCTAGCACTTGGGGAGGCCGAGGCAGGTGAATTGCCTGAGCTGATGAGTTCAGACCCGCCTGAGCAAGAGCGAGACCCTGCCTCTAAAAATAGCCGGGTATTATGGTGAGCACCTGTAGTCCCAGCTACTCAGGGCTACTCAGTTCCAGCAAGAGAATTGCTTAAGCCCAAGAATTTGAGGTTGCTGTGGGCTATGATGCCACAGCATTCGACCAAGGGCAACATAGTGAGACTCCGTCTCAAAAAAAATGAAAAGAAAAAAAAAGAATAAACTGCTGATACATACTACAACATGGATGAACCTTAAAATCACCAATGGTTTTGTTTTAGGAGCAGCCAAGTAGGCAAAATATGTATGAGACTACATATTTTATGGCTCCATTATAGAAAATGTCAAGGTTAATGGTTGCACATGGGTGGGGGTGAATACTGGGAAATGTAAACAAGTGAGAAGAGCCTAGAAAATTCTGAGAGAAATAAAGAGTCTACAGTCCTATTAGGTATTCAAAAAAGTTGAGAATTATAATAATGAAAGCGTTATGCGATTGGTCCAAGAATCTATGGACAATTCAATGGAACAGAGTAGAAAGTTCAAAAAAAGGAAACAAAGACAGCAATTTGCAAAAAAAAATAGATTGCACCCCTACCTCACACTTTACATAAAAATGAATTAAAATGGATCAATGTCTTAATTCTATTTTAAAAATTATAAAATAACAGTCATGCACCATATAATGATACTTTGGTCAACAACAGACCACACATAGGAATAGTAGTCCTGTAATTACAATGGAGCTGAAAGATTCCTATCACCTCATGACATTATAGACATCATGGTCTGTATGAGCAACAACACGCTACTCACTTGTTTGTGGTGTTGCTTGTGTAAAAATACCTACGGCATTGCCAGTTGCATAAAAGTGTAGTATAAACAATAACGTGCAATATATAATACTTGGTAATGATAATAAACAATTAACCTTACTGGTTTATCTATTTACTACACTATACATTCTAGTGTTATTCTACAGTACACTTCTTCTATCTATTAAGAAAGCGAACTGCAAACCAGCCTCAGGCCAGTCCTTTGGGCGATATTCCAGAAGGCAGCATTGTTATCCTAGGGGATGACAGCTCCTTGTGTGTTATCCACCCTGAAGACCTTCCAGTGGGACAAGATGGGAAGATGCAAGACAGTGATATTGATGCCTTTGGCCCTGAAGAGGCCTAGGCTAATGGGTGTGTTTGTGTCTTAACTTTCAACAAAGAAAGTTTTATTCATTAAAATAAAAGAAAAAAGCTTACAGAAGAAGGATATAAAGACAAAATATTTTTGTATGGCTATACAATGTGTTTGTGTTTTAAGCTAAGGGTTATTACGAAAAAGCCAAATGTTAAAATAGTTTTTAAAGTTTATAAAGTAAATATGGTACATTTATTACTGAAGAAAGAAAAAAATGTTTACAATACATTTAGTGTAACTGAAAAGTGTACGGTGTTTATAAAGTCTACACATAGTGTAATGTCCCAGACCTTCACATGGTGTAATGACCTCCAGGCATCCTCAAACTACGGCCTGCGGGCCACATGCAGCCTGCTGAGGACATTTATCCGGCCCTGCGGGTGTTTTTGCCACCACTGCCTGTCCTGCTTAGCAGCTGACTCGTCCCGGGGCCCGTAGTCCAGCCCTGCAATGGTCTGAGGGACAGTGAACTGGCCCCTTGTTTAAAAAGTTTGAGGACCCCTGTAAGATCTTCACATTCACTCATTCCGTGCTCACCGATCTACCCAGAATAACTTCCAGACAAGTAAGTAGCACCATGTTTTGTCCCTTATACTGCATTTTTACTGTACCTTGTCTATGTTTAGACACGATTGTGTGACGATTGCCAAAGTAACGTGTCATACAAGTTTGTATGGCACAAAACCCGACAAAAAAGAACATTTGAGATTTGACTAAATTCTATAGCCAAACCAAACTAGAACAAACAAAAAACCCAACAAAAGACTGATGGCAAAGGAAAGTTTGTATTTAATATCACAAATGCTGATTCCTTATAATATATAAAATTCTTACAGATGAATAAAAAAAAGACCCACAACATGATAGAAAAATAGGCAGAGGTTTTGAACAAACGATGCATCCGCAAAAGAGGAAATTCAAAGAGCTCTTTAAGCCTGTACAAAGGTATACACCCTCATTCTTCATAAGACAAATACAGAGTAAGGCAACCATTGGGAAAAATCAAAAGTTTAGCACTCACTGTTGGTTAAAGTGTGGTAAAACATGCCCTTTATGTTATTTTAATAGGCCTGGAAATATATATCAAATTACGCACATATACATTTTCAGTGATTTTGAAATTCCTTTCCTAGGTATTTTGCACATACGGATACATTTAAACTTGTGCAAAATTATGTATATTCAAGGATATTTGGTACAGAGTTGCTTATAGTAGCAAAATATTGGCAAGTGAAATGTCCATACACTAGGGAGTGGTTAACTTGCAAAATCTTTATACCATAAAGCAGGGGTCCTCAAACTTTTTAAACAGGGGGCCAGTTCACTGTCCTTCAGATCGTTGGAGGGCCGGACTGCAGGCCCCGGGATGAGTCAGCTGCTAAGCAGGACATGCAGCGGCGGCAAAAACACCTGGAGGGCCAGATAAATGTCCTCAGCAGGTGCATGTGGCCCACAGGCCGTAGTTTGAGGACGCCTGCCATAAAGTAATATGAAGCCACTAAAAAGAATGTGGCAGCTCGGCACGTTGCAGAAACGGATGTATATTTATAATCATCTGTGGTTTTTAAAACAAGATATACACAAGTATTTGCTTGTGTATGCATATGTATTTCTGGAAGGATAAACAAGAAATTGGTCTGAGTGGTTTTTCCTCCAGAGAGAGCAATTGGGTATAGCATACAAATGGGGAAAAAATCCTTAATTTTCACTGTGCGTCTTTCTGTACGTCTGGATTTTGAACTATCCACACGTAGAGGCATTATTCCTTATTTAAAAATAAATATGAATTTATTTAAAGGAGTTGGGCTCACAGGCATCCCAGTGATGCCAGGTTCAATCGCCTGCATCAGTATGAGAGTATTTGTACACATTAATCTCTCTCCAAAATGGGTCCTTTTTAGGTAGTCTTTTGGTGTATATGTCAACCAAAATATACTAAATATACTAATATATATAAAAATATACTAATATACTAATATACTAATCTTAAAAATATACTAATGTTCAATGCAAGTCTTGAATTCGAATGTGCTGCTGCTTATTTCATCCACTTTTTCCCTTTAATAAAATACATGACTAATAAATAAATAAATAAATAGATAAATTCTTTAGAGTGAACAAAACTGTGTGTGTGTATGTGTGTGTGTGTGTGTAGGGGGGCTGCAAGCCTATTGTCTCACTTTAGATAATGTGTTCCAATTCAAACGAACCTAAACCCAGAACGTGTCATATATGTTATATAGGATGGCTTTGATTTCCCAGATGGCACAGAACAAAAGGCTTTTTTCACACAATGAACATAAGAAAGCTATGCTTATTTTTACATATTCTTTCATGAAGCTAACTTTTTTGTTTTACAGAATATAGCCCCCCTCTGCTAATTGTTCTGTACCCAAATAGTCTGTACCAAAATATTGGAAATCCTGTAAGGAGACAGAGATTGTCAAGGACCCTTAGGATAGATCCAGTATTGGAATTTCATGTTCTGTCCCTTCGTACAGCAGTGAATGTGCACATAAATTATCTGGGTATTTTGTTAAAATAAAGATTGAGTCAGTAGGTCTAGAGCGGTGGTTCTCAACCTTCCTAATGCCTCCTAAGGCTGCGACCCTTTAATACAGTTCCTCACATTGTGGTGACCCCCAACCATAAAATTATTTTCATTGCTACTTCATAACTGTAATTTTGTTACTGTTATGAATCGTAATGTAAATATCTGATATGCAGGATGTATTTTCATTGTTACAAAAGGGTGGCGACCCACAGGTTGAGAACCGCTGGTCTAGAGGGAAGCCTGAGATTCTGCATTTCCAACAAGCTTCCTGGTCATGCCAGTGCTATACTTTGAATAATAAGCATAGTCTTGCTAGGGACGAAAGTCAAAGATCATACTGTGCCACACGGCTTCTTGTGACCTGACCTAGATGCCCTATAATCCTGTGTCTTTCCAGTCATTCAGATGAACCGAGTTATGCAGTGGCAAGGGTCGCTAATACCACTTATTATGCAGAGAAACCTTCTTTCCCCACATCTTCTGATTTCTATGGCTATCAATTTTTAAAAGTAATCCCAGCTTCTTGTGCCACTCCTTACTACTTAACTGATAACAGCTTGTTCTACTTTTTCAGAGTGAAAAGAAGAGAGAGGGAGAGAGTTGGTTGCAGGAATGATCTCTCTTTTGAATTCCCCCAGTTTAGCACAAAGTAGCAAGCAACTTGGGTGAATATGAGTGCTCTCCAGACTCAAATTTTCCCTCCAGTGAGCAGTCCGTAGGCTCCGTGGGCACCTTCGGTGGTGGAGTGAGGGCTTACAAGGCACACTTACCTTTACCAGTAACAACAGTGATAGGCTGATTTTCCATCTGCTACTTCTCAACTGATTCGGAACTTAGGGTGTGGGAAAGCAGGGAGTATTACTTACTGAATCCTTTCAAATCCCCAATACTACCTAGATAACTAGCTAAGAGAGTAGTAACAGGTTTGAAAAGGTCATAAGGCCAGATTCTGCCCCGCTTCCCAGTACATCCCAGGGACCCTTTGTAGCAGCTTCATCTCATTCTGTGGGCAACGCTGTCCTATTCAAAATTCAACCCAAGGCCCAGATCTGAATTTGATTCTTTCACCAAACTTCTTGGAGGCTCCCCACCTGTGTACTCCTTCCACTAAGTGCAGAAAATAAAGGGAAAACATATCACTTATTCTTTTTTTTCTTTGATATGCCTCTTGTTGGGTAAAATGTAATTTTTATCTTTCATCTCTTGAGAGGCATTATCTTCAAATCCTGCTGTTCTCATTTTACCTTTCCGGTCACTATCTTCCCATTCAGAAAGAAAACAGAATTTACGATCCTAATTAACCCTTAACAAAGCTTTCCAAATTCCTCTGACTTCCTTACCTTCTCCTGGATCCCTTCATCATCACCAGCAAAGTACAAAATAGGGACGTTGAGCTCAGAGGCGGCTACCCACTGAAGGACAGCTTGGAGTTGCTTGTTCTGAACTGTATCTGTTAGATTGTGATTGCTGACAATCACCTTGGGGGCTGCACACCCTTCCAGGGGCTGTCCTGATATACCTCTCAATTCATTATGGATAGCCTGATAGGCATTCTGCAAGATAGCTTCTGCTGTCCCTGTGCCCTTGACCGGTAAGCACTCGTATAAACTGTCTGGGAGGGCTGACGATGGCCTGCTGGCATCTCCACACTTGTCGTCTCCCAGCTCTGCCAAGGGAGTGTCACAGGACTTGGCAATGATGAGACACAGCTTCATCACTGAGTCCATCAGGTGATCCAGCATCTTCCCATTCATTTGGCCGTCTAGCTGGTTGACAACCATCTTAGTCAGCCCAGATAAGGCCCCACCAGACTCTTCCCCTTCATATAGTTTGACGGGACAAGGGGTTGCTGGTCTTTCACAGTGGCTGATGTCTTCTTCCTTAACTGGCTGTTCTGGCATCTTGGCTTCACAGCTACGGTCATTCTTGAAAATGGTCTCACCGAGTAAGTTCCGGATGAAATTGAAAAAAACACTCATAAGATCCTTCTTTTCTGCTTGTTCTTTGTCACCTACTACCTGAGGAGACTTAAGGCAGGACTCGTCGGGAACTACAGGTGGCTTGTTGGGGGGAAAGTTGGTGGTGGCAGCAGCTTCAAGGAAGCTCTGTGCATCCATTCTTCCTCCCTGGGCCAGGTGATACTGAATCAGAAGTAGGGCAGATACAATCAGATCCTTGGCCCAGGAGTCTGAATCATACATAAAATTCTCAGGTCTCTCTGGGTGACAGAGAGGGGGGCTGAAGTCGCTAGGATCTTGGGGATATTCAAAGGGAAAGTCTGGTGCAGGCTTACATGGTTTATTGGGACTTTCCCCTGCGGGATGCTGGAAACCTGGAGATTTACATTCTTTCTGTTGATTTTTATGCCACATGATTAATCCCTCTTTGATAATGTGTTCACCTAGAGTTTCAACACAAGTCTTCTTCTCTGGTTTGGGCATAGGAGAATACATTTTTTCTCTCATTTTAGCTTCAGATTTCATTGTAAAGTTCACATTTCGGTTTTTAGGGTCACCCAGTCCTTTCATGGAGACAAGAGAATAACTCTCACACTTGTCCTTGCTTTTCCTGATAGTCTCAGGGATTTTCTTGGCAAATATCACATTGTATAGTTTACCCAACATGGCATCCATGATGTCTGTGGCCTTTTGGCTTCCATGAGAGAAGACGCTTCTTTTCACAGCCGACACAAAGTCTGTGTCAGTCATGAGGGTCCCCGTGACATTGTGGAGGTTCTTCATGAAGGAGTCAATGAGATCTGAGACCACCTCTTTTGCATGCTTCAGCAAGACCTTCTTTAACAGGATGGTGGCGATGGTTGTGTCTTTCACTTGGATCCTCAGGGTCTTCATGATGGAGACCATCATATCAGACACCACACTATTAGCATACGTCATGATCCCTTCACTCACGGAAGTTGTAAAGTCATCAGTTCTTTCCTGCCCTTGGAACATCTTTCTCTCCCCAGGTAAGAACTTTTTACCTTCTCTGGCATCACCTGCATTACGAGATTCAAACTCTTCCTTAAAGAAGAAAGATTTCTTAGAACCTGGCTTGTCATCTGGACTCTTGCTTGCCTTCATCTTCAAGGTGGACTTGTATTTCAAATTTGATCCTGAGGCTCTGTCTCCAGAGCCAGGAACCTTGTCTGGTGCAGCATTCTGGGAACACGCAGTGACGGTCTCATTTACCAGCTCTGATGCTACCTTACTCAGGCTTTTGTTGGGTGGGGGAGGGGGGTCATCCCCCATGTACAATGACTGATGGACACATTTGTTTTCGGAGCCGTCAATCTTCTCGTTGATCTCCTTGCGGGCCATGGCTATGACTAGATTTGTGAGACGGTTAGCATAGAAGGAAACTTCATCTACCGAACTCCCGGCACCAATTTGGACCCTGGGGCCTTGGGGAGGGCTCTCTCGGTGAGTCATCTCAAAATGCAATCTCCCTGGACTTCCCTTGTTGGTGGTATTGTAATAGTCTACACTGAATCCTTTGTGTGAGTCTCCTAAGTTGGTCGTTTCCCCACCCAGTGATGATTCTCCAGGCTTGAACCGAACATCTTGGAATCCTGCTGTGCTTTTCTCCAGGTCTCTGCGGAGCCAGCTCAGCACTCTGACAGGATCCACTGGCGCCTCCTTAAACACAGACAAGGATTTATCTCACTATAACATAAAGATACGGGAGGTTCAGGACAACCTCAAAGGTCAGTTACAAACACTGTCATCCCTCTCAAGCTTGGTCCATCTTTGCAATAAAAGTAACAACATTAATTGAATGCTTACTATGTATCAGGCACTGTTCCAAGTACCTTAAGACTATTGTCTCATTTAATATCATTCTCATAATAAACCTAAATGTTAGCTCTCTTATCTTGATTTTACAGAGGAGGAAGTCAAAGAATTGGGAGTTTAAGTTAGTTGACTTACTTGAAGCAATAATCTTTCATGGAGAAGGAAATCTAACCCAGCAGTCTAACCCCAGAGCCTATTCTCTTGGCAACTACATTATATTCCTTCCAATAATACGTATCCTTAAGATCTGATAGTCATCAGCTGCAGACAAGAGTTAGAATTTGAAATGAATCATATTTTTATATTAATAGCTATTTTCTATAGTTTGCTTTTTAATTTATATGTAATATTTATATTTTTTGAGACAGAGTCTCACTACGTCACCCTTAGTAGAGTACTGTGGCATCACAGCTCACAGCAACCTCAAACTCTTGGGCTTAAGTGATTCTTTTGCTTTAGCCTCCCAAGTAGCTGGGACTATGGGTGCCTGCCACAGCAACGCTCAGCTAGTTTTTTGTTGTTGTAATTGTCGTTGTTTGGCAGACCTGAGCCAGGTTCGAACCCGCCAGCCTGGGTATATGTGTCTGGTGCCCTAACCACTGCACTACAGTGCCTTATTTCTATTGCTTATTACACATATTATTTTCTAGAAATTAGGAAATTCCAGAAAAATTGTTCATAATAATCACTTTACCAATTTAACATATTGAGCACAATCTCAATATGTTAAACGGCTTCCAATGGACTGGTTGACACTGCTTAAGCTAACAATCTGATTTATAGTTGAGGAATTAATATCTATGGGCAATTCATTAGTTTTGTTTCAATACAGGTTATTTGGGGGGGCACTAGCTGTGACAAGCACATGTACAAATTCATATGTTTACATACTGTACAATCTATATGTGGAAAAAAATCTTCACTTGAACATAGGATAAAATAATGTATGTGAAAGTGTCCTATTTACTATTAAATGTAAAAGATCATTGTATTAGAGTCCATATACTTATCTGGGAATGACCACAAATATTGCCCATCTTTAAAGAATAATGGAGAATATTCTTAACATCTTTAAGAATAATGAGAATAATATTTTTATTACCAAACCATCATATAGTTACTAGGTACTATCTGTTAAATATGTAATGTTTGCTAGGCATTACGCTAAATGCTTTACTCACATCATTTTGTTTAATTTTCACCCTCGTAATCAACTGGTAAGGTAGGTTTTTACTCTTCCAGTTTTGCAGGTAAGAAAACAGAGATTTAGATAAGTTAATGTGGCTAGTATCTCACAGCTAGACATGATGGGGGCTAGCGTTCAAATCCTGCCTGACTCTAAGACCATTGCTCTCTCCCCACAATACCGAGATCCTACTGTGTTTTAATGACTTGGAAAGAAGAGAACAGCAGTGGTCCTAGTCCTCTGCAGGACTGAGATAAGCTGCTTGCTGCCATGCTGTGGTTAAGGGCCATAGTGCTTATTTGAAAATCTTCCCCAATGATGCTCCTAATTTGAAAAATGGCTACTATTAGGAACATTTTGTGTGTCAGTGGAAAACCACCCATTGTCTCGATAGCATATCCTATAGCTCTATAAACTGATGCAAGCAATGTAATTCATGTCTATACACATGTAAGGGGAGGCTCGACTGACTGCCTCTCCCCACGTGGAGGTCAGCCTGGCCTTTCTGTGCACATTCACTTCACTATTTCTGGTCTGTGTATTCTGAACCTTACTGGGTCATTGCTAATGAGTTAATGAAGGCTGGTTGCGGTGGCTCACGCCTGTAATCCCAGTACCCTTGGAGGCTGAGGAGTGTGGATTATCTGAGCTCACATGTTTGAAATCAGCCTGAGCAAGAGCAAGACCCTGTCTCTAAAGATAGCCGGGTGTTGTGCCACCTGTAGTCCCAGCTACTCGAGAGGCTGAAGCAAGAGAATCGCTTGGGCCCAAGAGCTGGAAGTTGTTGTGAGCTATGACGTGACAGCACTCTACCGAGAGCCACAAAGTGGGACTCTGTCTCAAAAAAAAAAAAAAGAGTTAAATGAAGTCTTTAACATATGTTCATTTTTTACACACGTATCAGAGTCATTATTTTGCCCTTCTCTGGAAATTATCTTTTAGTGGTTTGGGGAAGTCTTCTACAAAGATGCACAGTAGATTCACCTAATAGAAGCACATAGATCATGAGAGAGGTGCACCACATGTGCCCCTGGAGTGGCAATAGAACTGTTATTCTAGTTTTAATTTTCCTCTCTAGTTTTGTTTTTTGGTTTTCACTTTGGTTCATTAGGGGCAGTAATCATTGGTAGCCGCAATGCTAGAAATTTGGTTTTGTCTGACCATGTGGAGATCTCTTTTTTCAATGGATTAATGGTCTCTCCCATGTTAGGTGAGAGACAACAGAAAATCTTTTTTGTTAGTACTTATTGTCCCTCTTAAGCTCAAATCAACTGAGAATGCTTATGGCCATGTGAAAAGAGAAAAGCTCTTTGACATCTGGGTAGGTGAATTTTGTGTTTCTGTGTTTACTTTTGACATGTGGATAAAAGGTTAGAATTGAAGCTATAAACTATTGTTATAAGAATCTGTACCACCATGTGTCCGTAATTCAGAAAAGCATTAGGTAAGTAGTAATGTCTTCCTACCTCCAGAAATTATTAGTTAAGTTAAATTATAAGGTTTCTTAAAGAATCTATTCAGAGTGGCTTATATACAAATAAGTACTTTTACACATTGAATATTCTTGAGATCCAAAAATGAGGAAATCAAACGTCTAATATTTAAAATAATAGAATATTAGGCTGGGCATGAGGGCTCATGTCGTTAATCCTAGCACTCTGAGAGGCTGAGGTGGGTGGATTGCCTGAGCTCATGAGTTTGAGACCAGCCTGACCCAGAGTGAGACCTCATCTCTAAAAATAGCTGAGTGTAGCAAGTGCCTGTAGTCCCAGCTACTTGGGAGGCTGAGGGAAGAGAATCTCTTGAACCCCAAAGTTTGAGGTTGCTGTGAGCTGTGATGCTATAGCACTCTACTGAGGGTGACAAAGTGAGACTCTGTTTCAAAATAAATAAATAAATAATAAATAGTAGAATATTTAAGATATTAGAAAGTAATGCTAGGAAAAAAAGTATTTTTACAACCTCTAACTTAGAAACATTTCAAGAACCCAAGTTCACATCAATTAGGTAAATCTTTGGCAAACAAAAATAATTTAGTAATTTTGGTTTAATAAAAACAGCCATGTTTTTTCTGATTTGTCAGTGTCAAGTATAACACAAGAGTACATTTTGGCTTGACACCTATAACTCATTGGTTAGTGTGCTGGCCCCATACACTGGCGCTGGCAGTTTGAACTGGCCCAGGCCTGCTGAACAACAATACAACAACAAAAACAACAACAACAATATCCAGGTGTTGTGTGGCAGATGCCTGTAGTACCAGCTACTTGGGAGGCTGAGGCAAGAGAACTGCTTAAGTGCAAGAGTTTAAAGTTGCTGTGAGCTGTGACACCACAGCACTCTACTCAGGGTGATATAGTGAAACTCTATCTCAAAAAAAAGAATACATTTTAATTTTACTTTTGATATACTCTTCACAAACTTATATAAACTTACGGATCAAATAAGCTAGTGTTACTTCTATTTAATGTTTAAGATTATGAAAAATGTAAATCGATGTTTAACCAGTTGAATAATCATACTGACAAACTTTACTTCAACACATATTGTTTTATACGATTTCAGCTTGATAATAGATTTCCAACATCTTTATGTAACTGAAAACACTGAAGTGGTCTTAAATCGGGTTAGCGAATGTATATTCATTGGATACTTAGCTCATTTCTAAGAAAGATAGAACACTGAAACATAAAATTTACATGTTTCAGCTTCTACTTGCATTACTACAGAGAGGTAATGTCTTTGGGTGTAATGATGATTGCGTTCATTTTTGTCACTTAGAGCGGGTGTGTGAAAAGTGTGTAGAGCTATAGGAAGCTGTCTTCCTGTGCCTTCATGAGTTCTGCTCATCTGCATTTTAGCTGGTAAGTGACAGTTCACAACCACACACCCCACATTCAGTTTTCTTTGTGAAATAGAACGAATAGAAATTACTTTGGTTAAAATTTATGATTAATGTAAGTGATTGAGACTATAATTAGAAATAATAGTTTCAGAGAAATCTGTGTACCTGCTTGTTTTTCTTAGGGACTGCAAGTGAAATGTGGTGGAGACTTTCTTGAGGTTGACCTCCTAATCTCAGTAAAGGAAATAATAGAGATCTTGAAAAGTCCAATCTGAGGGGTGGTGCCCACAGCTCAGTGGGTAGGTCTGCGGCCACATATACTGGGGCTGGCAGTTCAAACCCGGCCTGGGCCTGCTAAACAACAATGACAACTGCAACAAAAACATGGCCAGGCATTGTGGCAGGTGCCTGTAGTCCCGGCTCCTTGGGAGGCTGAGGAAATAGAATCACTTAAGCCCATGAGTTTGAGGTTGCTGTGAGCTGTGACGCCATAGTACTCTACCAAGGGTGGCATAGTGAGACTGTCTCAAAAAAAAAAAGTCCAATCTGAGATTACTATGAAAACTTCCAGAGGGCCATGCCTCTGGCTCAGCGCACCAGCCCCATATGCTGGAGATGGTGGGTTCAAACCCAGCCCCGGCCAAAAACTACAAAAAGGAAAAAAAAACAACTTCCAGAAAAGTAAACTTAAGAGGGTCCATCTGGTTGTTACACCTATGTAAATAAATCAGGCCAAACCCTGATGTTATCAAGCTATTTTGTGATCAAGAGTATTTTACTTTGAGATTATTTTTTATAGAAATGGAGGTGACTGTAGACGTGTACTACAACAGAAAGATATTGATTATCTATAGACTAAACATTGTCCACAGTCTTCCACGTTACCTGATCTGGCTTCTGTGTGCTTTGCTTTGTAACTCCTAGTTACAAGCCAGCTATCTACCTCCCTGTCCTACTTCTCTTCCCCACCTCTAACTCCATTAAACATATCCTATAAAATTTTCTCTGACCATTTCTCATTTTTAAATGATTCATCCTTTAAACACCTATACCAGTTACTGTCTGGAGAGTCTATTTGGCAGATAGCCATGAACTGCTTTCATTAGTGTTCAACAGTGTTATTTAGTGACTTTAAATTATTTTTATATTTTCATATGCGTATTTTTTTTTTTTTTGCAAAAAGAAAGATACAATGCATAAGGGTAGAAAACTTTCATTCTTTTTTGCATCCTTCAGAGTATTTCTAACTTAGTGAAAAATCAAGGAATTTTTTTTTTTCCCGCAGTTTTTGGCCAGGGCTGGGCTTAACCCACCACCTCCGGCATCTGGGGCTGGCACCCTATTCCTTGAGCCACAGGCGCCACCCCAAATCAAGGAATTTTTATGCACTTAACACTGAAACTGATCTGCCTTTTGCTTTTCTAATTGAAAGGGAAGAAATAATAAATAAGGCGGCGCCTGTGGCTCAGTGGGTGGGGCACTGGCCCCCATGTACTGAGGGTGGCGGGTTCAAGCCCAGCCCTGGCCAAACTGCAACAAAAAATAGCTGGGCACTGTGGCAGGGGCCTGTAGTCCCAACTACTCAGGAGGCTGAGGCAAGAGAATTGCCTTAGGCCCAGGAGTTGGAGGTTGCTGTGAGCTGTGTGATGCCACAGCACTCTACCAAAGGCGATAAAGGGAGACTCTGTCTCTTAAAAAATAATAATAATAAAAAATAAAAGAGACAATGAATAAAAGATAAAGTAGAAGCAGTTTTGGTTGGCCCTTATCTACAGAAATTGGGTATTTGTTATCTATGTATCTTTAATGTCTTATGTAGACTTGTTAGTGTTTTCTCTTTTAGGCTATATACAGATAGACAAAACAGATTTTGGAAAAATAGAAGCTTAAGGGTCATAGAACATTGCATGCAGATAGGTGCTTGATAAATGTTAATATTAAGCATGAAGATTACAATATCATTTAATTATACCATTAAATAATGAAATTCTCAAAAAGGAGAGAATTCTGTCTTATTTTTATATCTCTGATCCTGACACCTATCATGGTGTCTGTGCCAGTTATAAATACATTGTCCCTCATGCCAAATCCATCCTTCTTTGCCTCATTTTGTGACATCAGAACTGGATTGTTTAAACATTTCTCCTTTGGCAATTAGTGGTGTTAACAGAGGACACAAGAGGGGAGCTGCATGGTCACAGCAGTAGGAAAGAAAGGGCTTCCCTGCTGGCCCATCTGCACCCTCTGGCAAATTTCTTGGGGCAGCCACTCTTCCCCCATGGCATCAGAAATGGCCTTGTTTAGGAGAGGGGGGCCTCTTGTGAGTTTTTCATTTCTTCCTTGTCTACTATCTCTCAGCCTGGGGTTGTAGCTGCTTTCTGCATTTGTTATTTCTGCAACACCTAGTTTCCTCTTTTAGGCCTTTAGTAGTTAACTATCTTTTATTAGTAAATAGATTTTTAATGTTAAATTACTGGTGCAGTTTCTACCTTTTGACTGGACCCTGACTGATACAATGCCTGATACTAAGTAAGTATTTAATCAATGTTTGTTGAACGATGAAGGAAGAATGACAATGATACTTAGATGAGAGTTTATAGTTCTGAGAATTTTAAGGCACCCTACATTTCAGAAAATACTTTCCATGAGCCTCTGAGACATTTCTATCCAAGCCCTATCTGTTTGAAAATAAAATTTTACATACATATATATATTTCATTAGTTCTAACATATTTCTTCTTCTAAACCTTATGATAGGAATTTTTTCCTACGAAACTATAGATAGGAGGGCAGCGCCTGTGGCTCAAAGGAGTAAGGGCACCGGCCCCATATGCCGGAGGTGGCAGATTCAAACCCAGCCCTGGCCAAAAATTGCAAAAAAACTCCAAAAAACTATAGATAGAATTTTTTTTATTCTACAGGAGTTCATTTCCTCACCCCCACCACTTACCTTTAAAAGTAAGAGGGGAGTGGTGGTGATGGAGAGAATAAGGCATTAATGGCACCCCACATATTCCTAACCTAGTGTTTAAAAGAGGATGACGCTTACTGTTTTCCAGTCCTGCGGTTGGTTTTCTCCAGGTGAATAGACATCAACTTTGCATACTCCGTTTTGGCTCTGTAACCAGTCAACTCTATCCGACATCTGGGTAGAGCAAAGAGAAATTATTTGTCAGTGAGAAAGTCACTATTCAGAGAAATGCAAACCAAAACCACTTTGAGATATCATCTAACTCCATAAGAGTAGCCCACATCACAAAATCCCAAAACTACAGATGTTGGTGTGGATGTGGAGAAAGGGGAACACTTCTGCACTGCTGGTGGGAGTGCAAGCTAGTACGTTCCTTTTGGAAAGAAGTTTGGAGAACACTCAGGGATCTAAATGTAGACCTGCTGTTTGATCCTGCAATTCCTCTACTAGGTGTATATCCAAAAGACCAAAAATCACTTGGCAACAAAGATATTTGCACCAGATTGTTCATTGAAGCTCAATTCATAACTTCCAAGTCTTGGAAGAAGCCCAAGTGTCCATCAACCCATGAATGGATTAATAAATTATGATATATGTATACCATGGAATAATATGCAGCATTAAAAAAGATGGAGACATTACCTCTTTTATGTTTATATGGATGGAGTTGGAAAATATTCTTCTTAGTAAAGTATCTCAGGAATGGAAAAAAAAACTATCCAATGTACTCAGTACTAATATAGAACCAATTTATAATCACTCACACTTTCATATGAGAGATGAATCACAACTATAGCCCAGGATGAAGGAGGGAAGGGGAGGGGGATGGAAAGGGAATGGGGTGGTTTGGTAGATGGAGGGTTAATGGTGGGACCACACCTATGGAGCATACTGCAAGGGTACAAGTCAAATCTATCAAGTATTGAATACAAATGTCTTAACGCTGTGATTAAGTAAATGAGGTGAAAGATACGTTAATTAGTAGGATGCAAGCACTCTAATTTATACAAATAATCCACACATTGAATCCCACAGAGGCATAAATATATTCGTGATCTATGTATATATGACTTAATGAAAAAAAAGAAAAAGAAAATGTATAACAATGGCTTGTGGTCTCACTATTAAAGAAAACTATTTAGACTAATAAAAAAAAGAAATAAAGTCATTAAAAGGGCAGATGATAAGAAAATAAGGAGAAATAAAGTGGATGGCTGAAGTACAGGAAATAGGAGCAATGTTTTCAGCAAAGACCTGCCTGAAGAGCTACTTTAGACCAGTCAACTCTAGATAGCTTCATCCTCAGCATTCAACTGCAGAAAGTGTTCTTAAACTCATTGGTGGGGGTGAGGGCAGGAGCGGTCAGTGTGTACTAAAATACAGTCAGACAGAAAGGCTAAGTTCTAGTATTTGATAGTATAGTAGGCAATGTTAGTCAACAACAATTTATTACACATTTCAAAATACGTAGAAGAGAAGGATTGTAATGTTTCCAACACAAAGAAAAGATAAATGTTTGAAGTGATGGATATCTCAGTTACCCTGATTTGATCACCTTGTGTACATGTATCGAGATATAATATGAACTGCCAAAATATGTATTACACATTAATTTTTAAAATACAAGCGTCCCGTATTTCTGCGTCTAGTAACAAGGCTAGTGGCTAGTGGCTAGTGTATTCTAGAGGTGCTTCTCTGTTGAATGAAGGAACCTGAGCAGCCATGTCCTGCTCTTTGTGTCCTTGCTTGACAACCCTCCCCTGCTTGGATTTTCAGCGGATACTCAAAACTCAATGTGATCAAAATGGAATTAATTCACTTGTCCCTTGTTTCTTCTTGCTCCACCAACTTATTTTGAAAGTAACAGATGCTCTATTTTTAATTAATTTCTAGGGCACTAACTTACATTCATACTTGCAGTTCAGTCTAGCAGCACTTTCTTAAGACCAATCCCTTCTCCAATTACTGTCTGTAGAATCTACTCGACCAAATTTCTTGCACAAGAATAGAAATGTCACGTGCACTATCTGTGGTCCTTTGTCCACAGATGCAATGACACCCTTGCTGGTGTAAATCCTTCCATAGCCCTCCTGTCACTTTGCTATCCCCTAATTTCAGAAATGGCACCACCATCGGCCTGCTCTTCCATTTTAGTTGTCTTCTTCCACCCTAAACTTCCCTCTAGCTACTTCTCTCTTCTTCCATTTGCAGCCATTTTTCTTAAATAAATTGCTCATACCTACTGCTTTCATGGTCTCATCTCACAAATGAGTACCACAGTATCTACTCCGTATATCTGCTCCTTTGGCCTTAATCTTGTCCACTTTCTACAACATTGCATCTTCCTTGGTAATCTTCAAGACCATGGCCAACAATCATGATAACTTAGAATTACCCACTGATAATAGAAAACTATGAGAAGCTTCCCTTTGTCCTTTTTTCCAATCCCAAACTTCCATTTCCAGGCTTCCACATCTAAGTTTCCCTTCTTTCATTACCAACTTTGTTCAGACTTTGCTATAGGTCTTAGCAAAGTAAAATAAGAGGACCCATTGATCCTCCCTGCTGTCCTAAACATCTTTATGACATAGACATAAATCTCTGTATTTTGATTCCACCAAAATATTTATTTAAAATTTTGCTAGAATAAAGCTGAACAGCCCATCCTAATTTTTTAAATAGTAAAATTAGTTTTGTAAAGACTTGAAATAAGTGGAGCATGATTAGGGGATAAACATCAGGTTCATTGGAAATACTTGTTTTAAAGGACTTTGGGGATGTGGTGGGGAGTAAATGTCCTCTCTGAAAATAAAACCAGCACAAATCAAAGACTCAAAGAGAGATTAACCATGACTTAAACATATGTAAGTGAATATGGTATTTTTGTTATGCAGACTATTATGGACAATTATTAAAAAGAAAATATAAAATCTTTTAAGGTTACTTGTTTTTTGCTCCCACAGGATCGGCACCCATTTTCACACCCCAAACAGTGACTCAGATTACAGGGCCAGGAGATAGTTTATCACTCTTCCAGATAAATTCTTTGGGTCAACGATGGGTTCTCTGAACCCTAATTAGACCTTAGAATTAACCAGACAACTGTGTAAAGAAACTGAATTTGAGTTACTACTCCCTTAAAAATCTTATTTCAATGACTTTGGTTTGGAAAAACTTTGGCACTAAATTGCTTAAAAATTCCCTGGTTGGGGTTTGGTGCCCGTAGCTCAGTGGTTACAGTACCAGCCACATACACTGGGGCTGGTTCAAACCTGGCCAGGGCCTGCTAAATCACAATGACAACTACAACAAAACAACAACAAAAATAGCTGGGCGTTGTGGTGGGCACCTGTAATCGCTTAAGCCTAAGAGTTTGAGGTTGCTGTGAGCTGTGACACCATAGCACTTTATGGAAGGTGACATAGTGAGACTGTATCAAAAAAAAAAAAAATTCCCCGGTTAGGTGAATACCCTAGTTCTTAATGTACATTTTCAGAACTGAAAATTCGTGTGCCAAATCTTATCTGCAGAAAGCTCTCTCTGAGAAAGACTGGCCAGTTCTAGAAAGATCATTATTTAACCTTTTCTTTAGAATTTTTCTTTGAGACAGATTTCCTAACCTCCTTTGGTGTTTTAATGTTTTGTTTCTTGAATGAAGAAGGTGTTAATATATATGAGGTGAAACCCTGTAATGTCCTCAGCAGCTCACTATTATATATAAATATTCTTGAAGAATAAAACAAATGGTACGGTAACTTGGTTAGAGACTTGGAAGACTTAGAAGCAGGTTGTCCTAAATCAGGGGTCCTCAAACTTTTTAAACAGGGGGCCAGTTCACTGTCCCTCAGACCATTGGAGGGCCAGACTGCGGGCCCCAGGACAAGTCAGCTACTAAGCAGGACAGGCAGCAGCGGCAAAAACACCTGGTGGACTGGATAAATGTCCTAGGTGGGCTGCATGTGGCCCATGGGCCATAGTTTGAGGATGCCTGTTAGACTGATGAAAGTGCAAGCGAAAGCTAGAAATGTGTCTCCAGTTTATATTTCATCCTAATAAGTTGCTTCTAATAGACAAAATATGTAGCTTCTATTGCCCTAGTTAAGCTTTATACCACGATTAGAAAGGTTGAAATTAAGTACAAAAAGTAAGGAGATTATGTGATCACTTACTCTTATTGAGGATAGGTTCTGAGATATGAGGAAAGCTCTTGATTAATTTGTTGTTGTTGTCTTCACTATCCCTAAGTTGAACCACCACTCCTGCCATGTAATATAAGGAATCTGCAACAGAAAGACACAAATGGAAATGACTGATTTTCAAATAAGCCTTATTGCTCTTATTACCAAATGATGATTTTGAGTTATTTGGGTCCCCCCGCCCCCCACTGGCACACACAAGTGATGAGCACAAAATGACATCCAAATTTCATAGAGGGAGTCCACAGCTTACTCTTGGTGCACTCTGATGCTTGCCAGATGACACAAGAGGGTCCAACAATTTCTTAAATGACTACTGTTATTCTCCACTTTCAAATCATATGTATATGGGTTTATTGAATAATGATGACACTGAAAATTTTTAAGTCTAATCTCAATCTTGTTTGAATAGGAATTTGAAAGATAAATAGCTAGAATGGAGAATTCCCTGAATTCACGGAACTTAAAACACTTTGTAAGCATCTTAAGAGTATTTGAGAGACACATACATCCTCATGTTATATAGGGAGTTCATAGTTAATGTCTTTCATTCCAGTTAGGTAGTAACTTCCTTACATTGATATTTCAATAGAAGACATTACAGCATTGTACTCTCATCTTGAATATTTATCCAGCCCTTAAATAATGCTTCTCTAAATCCCACCCTTACTTCATATCAGGTCAAAAGTTACCCCATCTATGAAATATTGTCTCAGTTCTGAACTGAATGTGCTTTCTCCCTTACCCAAGTTTCCACTGTATTTTGTACAACCCTTATAACCTATCTAGTATTTTAATTGCTTATATATTTAATCTTCTTTATTAGATGAATTCTTGAGGACAGAGGCCTTTTCTTATTCATCTTGGTATGCTTCATAATAGCTAGTGCTCAATGATTCTCTGCTGAGAGAATGAATGTACAAATTCTGCCCACTTCTAAGAAGAGTTTATATTTTTTCCTTTTCCTATAAACTCCAGAGAGTTTATATTTTTTCCTTTTTTCTCAAACTGGAGAATCTGAGAATAAAAAAAGAAATAGCTTGTTCAAATATGCTTTGGTGGTAAGCCATATATTCAGGCCTTCTTGAAGCTTTACTTTTTGGGGAGATAAGTTCACTCCAGAAACTTATAAAGTGACTTTCTCAGGACCTATACCAATAATAAAAATATCCCAATATCTCAAACATGCTTTTGTTCTCTTTTCACAAACAGAAAGTGCACTTAGTAGTCAAGTATATCCACCAAACACTTCGCTTACATTTATTCTAATGTTTTTACTCTATTTTCTAGGTCCTCTGTGTGTTTATCTGCATCCATGAAGCTGGTTTTAGACTTTTAAAATTTCCCAAATTGTCCTGGATGATAGCATAGCACAAAGAGGTATTTAAATGGGTTTTTAAATGATAATGCTATTCAGACTATTAAGTCAATGTCTACACTGCCCATAATGAAATGGGAAAAAAAGGAAGGAATATCTAAAGACTTTGATGAAGTCAATGAATGGATCCACGAATTTATTTACTATAAGTTCAAAAGTGGGTGAATAATATCCAGGAGTTAGGGTGCAAAAAAAGAGAAAATGATGTTTTGCGTTATCTATTAATTTTGGTAATGAAAGAAAGCTGACTACATATAAAATGTAAAGATAAATGGACTTTAGAAACAACTTATTCTAACACCTTTATCTTACAGAATAGGAAACTGAGGCCCAGGAAGGAAATATTAGAATCAATGATATCTTCCTTTAGATATCCCAGCCCTGCAGTTTAACATCCTGAAAATTGTGAAATTTTCCTATTGCCAATAGAGAGAGATCCTGTAGCTGATAAGGGAACTGGACTAAAATGGTCCTCAAGAAGGCCAAAGTAATAATTATCCCATGTTGAGAAGGAGTGCAAATCTGAATGCCAGCCAGAGAGAGTATGCTATCTAGGGGCTTGGTTTTATGGTTGCTGTGTCCTAAAGCATAACTCCATGTCAGGATATTTTTCTCCTGGACCCATCTGAAACAAGAGGCTCCTATTTACTCAAGGCAACTCCTAAAGTTTACTCCTAAACTCATGGAAAAACTCAAATTGCAGGAAGCATAAATAAAGCTCTTGCAGTGTTGCTATCTACCAAATTTTGAGATTCATTTATTTAGGTTTTATTGCCAGTTTTAAAGAGAAAGAATCTATTTAATATATTTATTGTCTATCTCCCTCTCTCTGGTACATTGTAAAAATGCAATAAATTAGGTTGTTGCTGAAATCAGACTTTCAACTGATTTTATTTAAAAAAAAAAGATGGGAAGTGTATATGTGTCTGTGTGTGTCTGTGTGTTTCTCTCAATAGCACCATTCACTGTTAAGCTTTCTTGTGAATTTCCTTTATTTCCACTTTCCCTTACTAATAGCTTTATCCTCTTGACTCAGTACAGATACTTTCTCTACACATCCTGCCATATATTATCAATGTCCTATCCTTCCCCAGTTCTCTGTTGTCTAACAAAGCCTTCAGAAATAATAGTGAGAGGATGAAAATGGATGAGAATTGGACTCAGACCTATGCCAGTCCTATCTTGTTCTTAGAGCACTAGAAAGAAAAGAACTTTTGCAATAGCCACACAATAAACAGCAACAGCAGGTAGTCAAGCTTCTACTGTATCAAATTGGGAAACAGGAAGTAAGACTTCTCAAATCCCGAAAAAGATGGCCAAGGTCATCTGGTCAAATCTGTAACACAAAGAAAACTTTAGCAGCAAAGATGATAGGTTGGGCTAAAATGCTGCTAAAAGTCAGTCTCGTTTATTTCCAGAGGACTTGGAGGTAAAATTAAAATCGGCTGGGCAGAAGAACAAGCCTGGGTTGAATACAAAAGGTTGCCCATCATTGGTCACCGAATTCTCCCTTGTAACCACAGATGATCAGAAAATGGGCTGTTTTATCAGTCTAGTGGGATTTCCTACCTCTGTAGCACTGGAAGAGTGAACCACAGAAGACTCCAGAATATACTTTTAAAGTCAATGAAGATGCTGGGATGTTCTTACTCCGCTCAAGATCTTGTTTCCTCCACCAGCCCTCCATGCACCTCCCCCTTGTGGGACTGGAGAGTGACCTCAGAATCACAGCTGGTGATATCACTATCTCTATAGCAACAGGAGGGGGGAAGATATACTCCAAGGCTCTGAAGTTTCAGGCTTGCTTTTTCCTGATTATTTCTCTCTTCTGAGTGTTTAATTTAGGTGGGGGAATATATGAGGGGAGATTTTTGACAATGGATTCCGCTTAAAACAGCAGAGTAAGTATTAATGCATTAAGAAATCCAGATGGCTACAGAGAAGAATAAGAAATAAAAGAATTGGCAGCTTACTATTTTTTTATGCAAAATCTATGAATTCTATCCATTTTGTGGGATCTAGTCTTGACTTCTCTTATTTAGAAGCATCCTACCTTTTGTAGAAAAAATGACTTTTGGGATATTTTGCCTAAACTGATCATCTCTGGGTTATTACTTGTCTTAGACGGTCAGAGATACAGTAGCACTAACCCAACCTTTGTAATGTCTGACTTGAGGAACTTTACTGGGATAAATCAGACCAAGAGGCATTTGGTTGGTGATGCCTTTTAGGTTTGAGGAGGACTTTATTTAATAGTACATTCTCTTGGGAAATGTTACCTTAGGTTCTCTGTAATCAATAATTACATACAAGACTAATATTTAGTTTTTAGGAAGAAAAAAGAATTTCCAATAAAGGCCATATGATAAAGATTAAAATTGTAATGAATTGAAAAAGTGACTGGTTTATTACAGGCTTCCTTTAACAAAGTTATTTATCTATCAATTATCTTTTATGTATTAGTTCTTAGTTTCTTCATTTTTAAAAGAAAAAAATTAGCCTTGCTGACCTGTTAGAATCCCTTACAGCTCCAACATTTTATGTTGTTGATACTTCAGTGGTATTTAAATGGCACTGCATGTAACTGCACAAAGCACTTTGCAGTAGACAAAGCATCCTCAATGTCCATTATGGTATCTGATCCTCACATAACCTGTTGAGATGACCAGGCAGGTATTATTTTCCCTGTTAGGTGTAGAAGCTTGCCTAGGTCACAACAACTCGTGGAACTGGGACTGGGATCCAATATTCTGGATGTTAAATTCAGTGCTCTTTTAACTATACCACAAGAATTTGAAACCAGAACCTAAGGCAGCGTTCGACTTAGAGGTGTTAAATCATATAATTGGAAATGTTAGACAGGGGTTAGGAGGTTGCTGACAATAGTGGAGGTTTGTCAGTGTATCAGAATCAGAATAACCCCCCCAAATCACGTTATTAGCAAACTGCAAATTCTAAGTGAACATAGGATGAGGCAAAGATATATGACAGAGTAGCATTACTAAGCTTCTCTGATAAAATTCAAGGGTTTCTTTCCTCTTCCAATTCAGTTTGGTAGGTGACACTTCAGTAAACAGTAGGGAAAGGATAGAGTGGAAATAGCCAATCTTAGAAGCCTAATAATAAGCAACTCACTACTGGCCTTTTATCTCTCAGCACAACATATATTTCTTCCAGAAAAAATAAAGCACTGAAAGGATTATTAGGTCTAGAAAGACTGCCAAAAATAGGTGGTTTTCTGATAAGCCCAAAGTATGTTTCACAGGATCACTGATTGCTGTCTTTCATTCAAGGATCTTGAAAGGCTCTCCAGGTTTAAAATTCAAGTGTCTAAGGTTTCTGGAATTTTCACAGGCTCCAAATGGTTCTTTGTAGAACAACTCAGACTCTCAAAGGGGTCTATAGATTTAAAATAAATTAATTAATAACAACAACAATAAACCATTGCTCTAGAGGGAGCCGTCTGCAGTTTCTCCTTTGAAAAATGTGCAGATGGCATATACGGCCACGCAATTTTAGACCTTTCAGGAAGTTCACAGATTTCCTGAAGCCCACTCATGAACTGCACAACTGGTTAACAACTCCTAGACTCATAGACCAGGTGGTAAGTGCTTCCATAAGTAAAAACAAAAAGCAGGATAGGTGGAATATTCATCACCTTGGGTAGGATGGCCAGAGCAGTCGTCTCTGAAGACGTCACCTATGAGCTGAGACTTGACATCTGAGTGGCATTCCAGGAAAAGCCAACAGCAAGCACGAAGATGTGGAGGAGAAAACGTGCCTGGCGGGCTCGACGTGCATTTATTTATTTGGGGGCACATACTCATTTCTATTTCTCTTCCCCACCTTTCCCCTTCTTGTCCCCGCCCCACCCTTCTTTTAAACCCCTTTTCGCTCGCAGGGACCACGCCTCTTCCTTCCCCTGGCCTCACCAGGGCTGTTCTGACCAACATTTTCAGGAAACAATGAATAAGAAGATGAGCCCCTCTACCTCGAGGTCTGCGGTTTTGTGTGTCTGTCACTGATTCTCGGGTTTCAGATCCCTCGGCAATCTGAGATTATCCTCGTGGCCCATTCTAGATCCCAGATCCGACATTAAAATTCTTTCCATTGCCTGCCTTTCTCCACTCCTTCACTTTCCCTCCCAGCCCGTCTGCTCGGCTCTCATCCCCTCTCCCTCGCGCTCTTTTTCTCCCTCCAAGATCCCTTCTTGACCAACACTCCACCCGGATCTCTGACCCAGTCCCTCTTTTCCGGGTTGGCGCCTGCGCAAACAGGCGTGAGAGACAAGTTTTGGCCCAGCTTGGTAGCCGTAGTCGGACGGAAGCCCCGGCCTGGGGGATTGTGGGAGAAGATGGCGGCCGCCGTTCACTCTCGGGTTGTTCGGGGGCTGCCAATGTCACGTAAGTGTCATCGGGAACAAAGGCTCCTAACACAGATTCCGAGATTGGGATGGCTAGGGTTGGGGGAATGGCGTCGTGCTGCAGCGGTCACGCTGACTCCCTAGGCATCCTGGTTTTTCCGGGGCGGGGGCTACCTCTCTCCAGTTTATCCTTTTCCTTTCCACCTCCTTGGCTTGCACATTAAATTGTGCACTTTGTAAGGGGGCCCTAGAACTTGAGCAGTGGGAAGCAAAGAGGAAAAAGTGGAGGGCACGTAAAGGAGTCCATGAATAAGAGTTCTGATATGGTTATAAGGGTTTTCGGTTATGAAAACTATTTGCTTGGGGCACGGAGAGAAATCTGAGAGGGATGAGGAAAAAAAGGATAGAGGAGAGAAGATACTTCGTTCATCGCCTTTATGACCTTGTGCAAACCTTTAATCGGTTTCTGCTTCACATTCTTCATGACACAATGGTGTTGATAACACCACAATGTCAGAGAGTCTCTGAGAAGATTAAATGAGATAATATTTATAAAAGCAACTTTTTATCCAAAAGCATCTTGACAGTTGTAGAGTGTGTTAGGTTGAGGTGCTGGCTTATGGGGGCGAAGGGGATGTTTGTGGAGAAAAGAGGAGCTTAATGGAAAGGAAAGTGAAGAGTGAAGGCTGTCTTAGAATTTGTCAGCTCTGTTCATTTTCCTTTCTATTCTGATTGGATCTGCTTTCAGTCTTCAAATCGAAAACACACCTTTGTTCATCCCCTTAATGAGAGTGAAACAAAGAAATTAGGAATGCAGTTACACTTCATTCTTCTTTCACCTCTACTCCTTCATAAACATGTCCTAAAAGTCCTATTTTTCCATTGTGTATTTTAGTCCTTGAAGAATGTCTTTTGCTTTCAATATTGGCTCATGTGAGAATCACTGTTAGAGCTTTATAAAATAGAAAGAAGTGGGGACTCATTGTACAGCCATAGAATCAGAATTTCTGAGATTTGCTCCTTGCACCTTAAATTTTTGAAAGCACCATAGGCAGTTGTGATGTTCAACTTGAGGCAAGAAATAATATTGTTTATAGGACCTTTTTTAATTTTCCATCTTTTATACAACTCCCTACATACTACTGGGAAGCTGGTGGTGCACATCATTTATAGTGGATGGTTTTATACCCATGACTTCTTTGTGAAAAAATTCTCTGGCTCTTATTAAACTATTAAATTGATGTGACACAATGTAGATTGTGAATGACAATAACTGCTATTTCCTGAGTACCTGCTTTCTGTTAACCACAGTTCTAGATATTTTCATCAACTTCTTTCTTTCATTTACTTTTCTCTAACTGACTCCATAGTTTGTGCTCTTAACAATCTCTTACCTGCTCCATACTAATTCAGTAAAATTGCTCTTAGTAAGGCCATCAGCAATCAATAGCTTCCAAATTCTGTGATCCTCTGTCTTCTTCCTGCGTAATTTTTTGGCAGCATTTGATGGAGTTAACTATTTTTTCCTTAAAACACTTTTCGTATTTGGTTTCTGGATACCTTTTTCTTTTGTTTTTTTCTCCTGTCTCACTGGGCTGCTCTTTGGGCAGTCACTAACCTCTCTCAGCTTTAGTTTCTTCATCTGTAAAGTGATGACAAAGATAGTATTAATAATACCTACTAAGTACTTAGAACAACACTAGGCACCCAGTAAGAGCTCTGTAAATTTAGCTAATAATGTGATGTTATTATTTTATTATTATAATATTACATGTCTAGTCTTTGATGTTTGCCTTTTTTTTTTTTTTTTTTTGAGACAGAGTCTCACTTTGTTGCCCTTAGTAGAATGCTGTGGCATTACAGCTCACAGCAGCCTCAAACTCTTGGGCTCAAGCCATTCTTTTGCCTCAGCCTCCCAAGTAGCTGGGACCACAGGCACCTCCCCCACCTCAATGCCAGCTATTTTTAAAGATGAAGTCTCCCTCTGGCTGAGGCTAGTCTCGAACTTGTGAGCTCAGGCAATCCACCCACCTCAGCCTCCCAGAGGGCTAGGATTACAGGCATGAACCACTACCACGCCAGCCTCTGATGTTTGCTTTTAATCTCTATGATTGCAATCACTATTTGGTGAGCTAGGCTATTTCTCCAGTTCTATACTTTTGGATAGGGAAGAACTTGGACTTCTGGGAAGCAGCTGATTCCCTTCTTTTCAGCTGTTAGAATGGCCCAAATTATAGTGGCCTGCTACACAAAGTAGTGAGTTTCCCAATCCTGCAGGTATGTGTTCAGGCTAAGGCAAGATGGTCTCTTGAACACATACAATAGAGAAGATTTTATAAGCATCAATGCATAAACATTGAGGTTTCTTTCTGGTACCAAGAGACTGAGTCTATGAAAAAGAAATGGCGGGAGGTTTGAGAAGTCACTTGCTGTTAACCTTTCTAAAAGAAAATCTTTTCTCAAGCTTGCTCCTTTTATCATCACTTTTGATGTTTTTCAGTGGTTTTGTTAAGTCTGAACTGTGCTCTTTTTTTTTTTTAATTTTTTGCAGTTTTAATATTTTTGGCCAGGGCTGGGTTTGAACCCGCCACCTCCAGTATATAGGGCTGGAGCCCTACTCCTTTGAGCCACAGGCACCGCCCTGAACTGTACTCTTTTTTTATTGTTCTGAATTAATAATCTTCTGCCTCCAACCCATAGCATCAACATTATTTTCTATTAGCCGTGAATTTTAGACTCTTCCAATTAAGTCTTTTGCTGTTACCCTACACTGGAAATATTTGTTCCTACCTCTGCATTGTTAGATGTGTTACATGTTTCTCATGGAACTCTATTCTTTTTGTTTATTCCTTTTTAACACCTTTCTCAAAACACTTTATCCGGGAATACTTCATGATCGTGTAACTTATTTCTTTCTTATTTTGTATCCTCAGTTTCTTTCACCATACAGGCTTATACAATCGTAATTTATAACTGCTTTATAACTGTTTTTTCTTAATAAGATTTCACTTCCTAGATAAGTTATGTTCTATAGGGTAGGGAATTTACTTTCTAATTTTTATGTATTTCCTATATCCTCTGGATTCTATGTTGCAATAGTTTGTGTTTATTGTTGCTGTTGGTACTTAAATTACTAAAGTGCTAGTTGCAAAATAATGTTACAGGTTTCTAGGGGAAGAAACATTTACATTCACAGTTACTGTCATATTAACATTTGCCACTTTTTGTGTCTTCTGGGTTTTGTTTAAGGTTCTGCCATTACTGCAGTAGCCACATCCGTGTTTCATGGTCCACCCGGGCGCCATCTTCATTATGCCCTCATACCTCATGGGAAAGGTGGGCGTTCCTCAGTCAGTGGCATTGTGGCAACTGTGTTTGGAGCAACAGGATTCCTGGGTCGATATGTTGTCAACCACCTTGGTAAGTAACTTCCTTGAGTTCAGTATGCTCCCTTGCCATTGATCAGGATTACCTGATGAAAAGCTAAGAGCTACGTTTCTCTTCATTTTAAAAGTATTATGAATTTCTCCTTTCCTGGTATTATGCTATTTTTATCTGCTGTGACATTAAGAATATACCCATGCTTCCATATAGGATATTAAGATGGCATGGCAAAATATGCTTTTTGTTAAATATAATATCAATTCGTACTAAAATTTAAATATTTATCGAATATGTATCCATATCGTGTTGATATTTTGTTTTGTTTTTTGAGACGGAGTCTTGGTAGAGTGCCCTGGCGTCATAGCTCACAGCAACCTCAAACTCTTGGGCTCAAGTGGTCCCCTTGCCTCAGCTTCCCAAGTAGCTGGGACTACAGGTGCCCACCACAATGCCCAGCTATTTTTAGAGATGGAGTCTTGCTTTTGCTTAGACTGGTCTCACCCATCTTGGCCTCCCAGAGTGCTAGGATAATAGGTGTGAGCCACCACCTATGATGTTGATGTTAGTCCTTATTTTAATCCATTCTCCTTCAGGACGTATGGGATCACAAGTGATCATCCCCTATCGGTGTGATACATATGACTTCATGCACCTTCGTCCCATGGGTGACCTGGGCCAGCTTATCTTTCTGGTAAGAGCTTTTATGATTGATAATTGGAATAGGCAAATGTAAATTACTAAAGTCAGTTTTAGGAGTAAGAAACAGTATAATAGAGCAATAATTTTCATTCCAGAATGGGCTAAGTGCATCCTCCATTCACAGGGCATTCTTTCAGGTGGGATCCTGCATTTGTTTTGTCAGGCATTTTTTTTCTGTGAAGGACCAGATAGTAAATATTTTAGGCTTTACAAGTCATAAAATCTTTATCAGAATTACTCAGCTCCTCCTTTGTAGCCTGGCAGCAACCATACACATAATGTAAACAAATGGGACTAATGGGGTTCCAGTGAAAATTAGTTTGCAAAGTTAGGCTGCAGACCAGATTGGCCTGTGGGCTGTATATAGTTTGCTAACCCCTGCTGTAGACTATGCTATCTAGTATGGTAGTCACTAGCCGTGAAATGTGGCTAGTCTGAATTGAATATGCTGCAAGTGTAAAATAGATACCAGATTTCAAAGGCCTGTATGAAGAAAATAATACATAATGTATCATTAATAATTGTTGATATTTACTACATATTGAAATAATAATTTGGAAGTATTAGGGTAGATGAAATATATTATTGAAATGAATTTTACTTGTTTCCTCTTACTCTTAAATGTGGCTAGTAGAAAATTCAGAAAGTAGAATATTTACAAAGTAGAAAACTCAGAA